ATAGGTAATCAAAAGCAAGGAAAAAGTAATATCAATATATTTTAGATGTGCAAGTGTCTAATTTATTATTTTATAGTACAAAATAAGCATATTTGTGTATATATTTTTACTAAAAACATCCTTGATCTTTTTTATGATTAACATACATTGATTTAATTTTGTATATTTTTCAATCTCTAAGATATCTATCTATCTATCTATCTATCTATCTATCTATCTATCTATCTATCTATCTATCTCAGTGATTGATCTATCTATGTTTACTCGTCCTCTCAAATGAGATAAACTACGTGATATTTCATTTCCTATGGATGATTTACTCCACTTCATATAATGATGTTGTGGTCCACTTACTTTCTTGCAAATTTTGTGATTTGATTCTTCTTTATAGTTAAACGGTATTGTGCTTTGTATATTCCAAATTTTCCATATCCACTTCCTCTGCTGATGGGTTTAGGGTCTTTCATCAGGACTTGGCTCCTATTAAGCCACTATAAACATGGCACGCACGCACCGCTGCACTGCAATACGTCTAATTCTTGTAGGAAGACATCAAGTTTAGGTGTTCCTGGGTTAAATGGAGTTTGTGATTTTAGTTTTATGAAAAATCGTCACACTAATTTCAATAGTTTCACTGGTTCACATTCCCACCAGCAGTGTTTCTTCCACATCCTAATCGGCATTTGTTCTTTATTGTATTTTCATTGATAAATATTCTGATTGAAGATGGAATCTCAGAATTGTTTCTGTGGAAAAATCTAATGGGTAAAAATGAATATTTTTTCATATTTTTAATTCATCTTATTTTATTTTTATTTATTTATGGATTTATTTATTTATATTTTAGGGAAGGGTCTACAGGGTGTTCAGGGTCTCACTACTAGATCGGACTCCGCCTGTTTACAGCTTCCCAAGTGCTGGGATTAAAGGTGTGTACCCCCACACCCAGTCTCAACTGCTGGCTCAACATGTCCCGGGGGTCGGCCTGCAAGCCAGGTCCCTGTGTCTCCTTGCAGGTACTTTGATTCGCTGAGCTATTAAGCAGGTCCTTTAATTCACTTAAAGAGTGAAAACAAATAGCAGAAACAAAGAAAGAAAAAGAGTAACAAACCACACACATCTCAAAGGAAGAAATACAAATGACAAATAAATACATGATAAAATGAATATTTTATCATGTATTTATTGGTCAGATCTACTTCTCCTTAGGATAAATATCTCCTCAATTAATTTGACTGTTCTTTGAATAAGATCACTTGGTTTTTGGATCCAATGATTTTTCTTATTTATATATTCTAGATTTTTGCTTTCTATTAAATAAGTATCTTGCAAAACACGTTCTCTTTCTATAGTTTACTTTTTCACCCTAATGTTTGCTTGTCTTCTATGTAGAAGCTTTGTCCTGTGGCTTAACCCATGTTTGGTTCCTTGCTATTCTTTCCTGTGCTGTTGTAATTCTGTTCAGGAAGACTTTGCCTGCACTATTGTCCCTGTGTTATCTTCCAGCATGTTCTGCAAGTTATCTTCCAGAATTTTCTGTTTTTGTGCATAGTTCTTTGATCCATTTTGACTTTTTCTTTATTATTACAGGGTTAGTAATATGGATTTGATTTCAACCTTCTGATCATCATTACCCAGCTTATTGAGTATCAGTAGTTATTAATAAAGAGATGACTTTTCAAACTTGTTTTTGAGAGGCCTTCATCAAAAATAAGAGTTCAATTTGTATGAGGTTGTTTCTTTGTCTTCTTTCCTATTTCACTGTGTTTCTATTTTTGTGCTAATATCATGCTATTTTATTCTTATAGATTGAATTAGTAATTGAAATGCAGCATTTTAATGCCTCCTGTTTTAGTCTTTTTGTACAGGGTTGCTTGTGCCACTCTCTTACCACATCAATTTTAGTTCATTTTTTTCTGTTTCCATGGAGAATATAGATGTTATTTTAATGACTTTATTAAATATATAAATTTCTTTTCATATTATGGTCATTATATCAATGTAAATGTTCCTAACAAGGAACAGGGAATATATCCCCATTTCCTAACATTCTCTTTAATTTCTTTCTTCAGAGTTCAGTAATTTTTATCACAGAAATATTTCTCCTTGGTTGAATTTATTACTATGTGTTTAATTTTTTTTTTGTAAAGTTGTATCTCAACATATTGGAAAACTGAATGAAATGGGTAAGTTCGTAGACACGTATGACTCACCACAGTTGAACCAAGAAGATACAAAAACCCTGAATATACCAATGAAATTAATTCAATAATAAAAATAATGGAATGAAATTAATGCAGTGATCAAAATTCTATTTTTCAAGAATAGCTAAGCATAAAATGTTTCACTTCTAATTTTTACTAGTACTTTATTGTTTATTTATTTATTTATTTTGTATTTTAGGGAAAGATCTACAGGGTGTTCAGGGTCTCACCACTAGATTGGAATCATAGTTATTCACCTGTTTACAGCCTCCCAAGAGCTGGGATTACAGGCATACGCCACCACACCCAATCTTTACTGCCATCTCAGCTCACTCTGGGAGCAGAGCTGCCACAAAAGGCCCGGGGATCCAATCTCTGGCCCCTGCACCTTCTTGCAGGCACTTTAATCCACTGAGCTATTTGGCCAACTCTCTTTACTAGAACTTTAGATAAGAATCTTTATACTGCTCATGCACATGCATACTAGTCAAATTTTACATGAATTGTTTTATTTTCAGAGGACAGTGTGAACACAGTACCCTACTACAACAAAAAGTTGGGTTTTTTACATTTGGGAAATCACAGGGCTCAGCACATCCTGTGTGTAAGGGATAAGCCTTGCCCTGGGAAAACAACATTTGTGATCACAGCGTCTCTCCTGCCAGATGACTATTACATTTTTTTTTTTGTGGTACTGGGGAATTATTACATGTATTTTAAAGAAAATAAATACTCTCATAAAAAACAAGTAAAGCTACACAGTCACACACAAGCACATACACACAATGAGATGGCAGGCTAATAATACCACGATGGATATATATGTAAAAATCCTCCATAAACTAGACACAAACAGAATTGAACAAATCATTAAAAGTTTCATATACCATAGCCAATTTGGGTTGATCCCAATGATTGAAGGATGGATCAGCATACATACAACAGTAAATGCAGTAGGCCACATAAGTAGAATCAAAGATAAAATTACAGATCATCACAATAAATACAGATAAATCCTCTGATAAAATCCAGCATCACTCATGCTGAAAGCATTGCCTAGAACAAGTATAAAACTTTCTTACTTCAAATTGATAAGAGCCATAAATGATAAGCCTCCATCGAACTGGATGAAGGAAACACAAGCATAGCACTTGAAATTTTGTTAGAGTGGTCAGACAAGAGAATGAAATAAAATGTGTACTAATAGGAAAAGAAGAAGCTAAAATATCTCTATTTGAAGTTGGTATGATTTCTTTATATAGAAACCCCCTCAAAAAGAAAGAAACTGCAGTAGAAGACTTAGCATTCATGACTTCAGCATAGCGACAGGTTAAAAATCAACACACAGAAATCAATGGCATTCCTGTGCATCAGTAGTGAACCCACCAAGAAAGAAATCAGGAAAACAATTTTGTTAGCAATGGCCTAAATTTTTTACCTTTGTTAATTGTGAATATTCAAGCTAAATATTGATAATTATTAATTTGATTTTTTCAGTAACTATCTTTCATAGAAGAAATTTGTCTTTGTATTACAAATA